ATTACTGTCACAGTCCTGTGGTGCCTCCTAATACTGCAGCAGTACGCATGCAGGGGCTGGCGCCGGCCAGTTGTGTCGGGCACCTTGATAACGCCAATATGTTCTATCACCAGACCTAAGCCGTTATAAAGATGACTCAAATTAACATCTCAATGTGATGGAGCAGGGCCAAGGGACTGGCCAGAGACGACAGTGGGGCTAAGCCGGAGCAGAGCAGAATTCAGACAGAGTGAATGACAACTACAAAAAATTAAATTATCAACTAAATTTATTCTTTTTTGTTTGTTTGTTTTTTGAGACAGGGTTTCTCTGTGTAGCCCTGGCTGTCCTGGAACTCACTCTGTAGACCAGGCTGGCCTCGAACTCAGAAATCTGCCTGCCTCTGCCTCCCAAGTGCTGGGACTAAGGGTGTGAGCCACCACTGCCCGGCCAACTAAATTTATTCTTGTCTTTGAATTTTTCAGCAGTAAATTTTGGCATATTTATTGCTATCTACATAATTTAATGGCTATTGAATTCTTACTGTTTGTAAAGCACTGTTGGATAATGTAAAAAGCTTAAAGACTAATTAATTCTTACTTAAATATTACAATACCTAATACAATAATTAATGAGAAGGCTATGCATGAATATATTGAACCACTATCTCAATATACAGAGGCAGTAATTAAGCAGTCTCCCACACCTTGTTTCATAAATCATGCTATCTACACATATGTATTATATAATGTTTATATATGTATAGTTAACCATATACTTAGATATACCGTTATAGTTATGTATTTTTTGCACAAAATGGGGAATGATACCATCTTGATTTTCTATGAATACATCTTAGAGAGTCTTGCATATACTCCAGGAAGAATTATGTCATTGTTTGTGAGTGTGCCTGAATGGCTTATGTGGTGTGTATGCAGGTTCTTGGGAAGGCCAGTTGTGTCAGGCACCTTGGAACTGGAGTTACAGGCAGTTGTGAGTCATCTGAAGTGGATGCTTAGAACCAAACCTGAGTCCTCTGCAAAGGAGTAAGTTTTCTTAGCCACTGACCCGCCTCTTCAGCCCTGAGACCTTTCATAGATACACCCTTAGTACGCACCTTTAACCTAAAACAGTGAGGGTAAAGTTAGTTTGTAGAAGGTAGTACCCATGTCTACAAGTGAGGTCTGGTTGACAGGCAGACAAAGTGACGAATCAGAGAAAGATTTGACAGAATAGGGTGTGTCCAACTCTCATTAGAGCAGAGAGGAGGCAGCATAAGAGAGAGCGGCACAGAAGACTGGACGTGCTCTACTTTGTCTTTATGACTCCACGGCTTCTAGTTTTTCTTCTATTGTTTTGGTTCCCATTCTTACTGCTGGCTCTTAGCCTGTGCTCAGTGCTAGATTCTGAAAAATCTTTTATTTTCTTCTTCAGTGGTCCTATCTGGTCTATACGATCTATGTCTTATCAACTCCCAATTTAATTCAGAATTTTTTTTTGAAATAAGGTCCTATGGGATCTTAGCAAGCTTTCAACTTTCTATCTTAGGCTCTTTAGTGCTGAGATTACTGATGTGGGGCACCATACATAGAATATGTCACATGTCTATTTTATTATTAAATAGCCACCTCTTCATTTTTCCTCAAAACCCGAGAGTTATCCTTGACTTCTGTTACTCTTGAACAGATTGATTTTCTTACCCTCATCTTCTAGCCAAATCCTGTCCACTCCGTACGTGGCCGTCAGCCACCTCCCTCGGGTTCTCCTTTCTTCTCTGTTCTCCACTGGCAGTGCAGTGCCTCACAGTTATCAGTTACGACACAGGTTGAAGCTGGCTGTGACACAGCCTTTAATCCCAACACTAGGGAGGCAGAAGCTGGCAGAGATCTGCTGTGAGTTTGAGGCCGGCCTGGTCTGTATGGCAAGTTACAGACCAGTCAGGGCTACACAGTGAGACTAGCTCAAAAAAACCCAAAAACAACAACAAAAAAAGGAACTGTAGTTTGGCTCAGTATATTATTATTGGCTTCTTACATTTATAATACCAAAAAGAAAAAGGAAAAAAAAGCAAACCTTACCAGAGCCTACAGGATCCACGTGGCCCAGTCCCCATCTATCTGTTCACCCATCCCCCCTCACCCCAGGCCCACTGTGTACTTCTTTCTGGCTCATGGGCAAGTTCTCCCTTCTGAAGCCCTGTACTCTGGTGTTCCCTCTGCTTTAGGTGCCTTTTCTTCAATCATTACATGATTTTTAAAATTTAGGATCCATTTTAAATACCATGACCTAAGAGAGAGTCTGTGTAACTCAAGTGGTCTCCCCTGGCCCCACAGTGACTTTGAAGTGTGACTCTTCATCACACTTTTGTTTACTTCTTCATTCTAAAAGGACCTGGTGCCTAGAGCAATTCTTAATATCCTGAAAGCATTTAATAAACCTCTGTTGTATCAAAGAGCATAGCCCCAGAATTAGCTGCATACATGTTTAGGTCACAGTGACAATGCCATCAGACAGCAACAGCTAGTGAGCATGTGGGGAGGGCATCACTTTGAGCAATGACTCCTGGACGGGAGGGTTTGCTGGCGTGCACTAATACACTCATCTGGCCCACGGCTTCCTTTTATCAATAAGTAGCTAGTTTTCATTCAGCAATTCTTTAATTTTTAAAGCTAAACATTTTTTAATGTATGTGTCTATATAAGCATATACTATGTATGTGTGGGCTCCCCTGGAGTTGGAGCTGGAAGTGGCTGTGAGCTGAGCAGTGTGAGTACTGGGAACGGGGCTGCAGGTCCTCCAGGAGAGCAGTGTGTGCTCTTACCTGCATCCACAATTCTCTCATGAAATCTGTAAGCACATTAATAACTTAGCAAATTAATAGCAAGCCTCAAGAACAAGGTTTTTCAAAAGCTTCTCAAATAGGAGAATAATTTGGACTGCTTTGCATTTTTCTTATTAGTTGGCGTCTCTTGATCTAAATGCATGTTCTTTAGACATTTTATTCCAGTAACTGGACTGTACTCCCAGAATTTAACACCAGATGTTCAGCCATAGCATCTGGGGTTAACCTTGGATTAAAAAAGCAAATTCTGGACCAAATAACAGTTTTCTTTTTAAGGAACTCAGTTAAAAAAAAATCACACACTGTATAAGAGTCACCTATAAATCTCAAAACATGTTCTGATTTTCATTATATCTATTCAATAAACCGCAATGCTATTAGATAATTACTGGTTGAAATAATAGGTGATTTATATCAACAGTAAAATTCCCACATTAAATTACCCAATTGACACCAACTGTATATGTTGGGCCCTTTATATTATGTGGTCTTAAGAAACTGTAAGACTAAAAAAAACTGTAAGACTATAATTCTTAACTAGGTAGAATTTGTTTATATTTAAATTTTAGATTGGCTTAAGTAACCTGGTCTGGACAAGTTGTTTTTATTAAAATTAACTAACTACTGGATTAGTTCTAATTAAAGAAAGTCATCTTTTTCTCCTGGGGCACAAATGGCCTTTGCTAATCAGGCCTCTCAGCTTGTGTGCTGGCCACATTTGGCAAAATCCAATCCTCACTCAGACCAGTAATAACCTGCTCTGGCTGGCAGTCAGATAGCAAGTCTATTTCAGGCATTAATGTTTGAAATGCCAAAAGACAGATGCCATCGAACACATAAGGAAACTGATATGCTGCTGAAATACGGAATGCAGGGGAGGACCCGAGGCCCTCTGAAACACCTGTGCCTTTAATCCAAAGCAAGTACATGATTCAGGCCTCGCAGGGGAGCTCATAAGTAGGGCTGACACATGAAAACCAGAAGACTCTTGGGCCTGAAATGACAGAGGGGGCAGTGATCAGCATCTCCTTGTGATGAGGAGCAGCCTTGACGCCCGCTTTCTCAGTGACTGTAACTTATCATCATTACATTTGTTTGTTTGTTTGTGTATGAGAGTGTGTGTGTGACAGAGAGAGAGAGAGAGAGAGAGAGAGACAGAGACAGAGAGACAGAGAGACAGAGAGACAGAGACAGAGAGAGACAGAGAGTAAGTACCTTTATCTCTAGTTTTTGTTTTTTTAAATCTATTTTTATTGTTACATAACAAAAAAGAAAGTTGTTATGTACCAGAAAGTTGGTAAGACCGCAGATTTATATGCTAGAAATAAAGAAATCTTCAGAGTTCAGAGAAAATCTTTGATAACTCCTCTCAGAAAGGACATAAATTTAAATCTTCATTTAGTAAATGACTAGCTTCAGTCTTGAAGCTGGTGAAAGGCAAAGTCTTACACAGGTTGTTACAGCAAAAAATTGCATGCCTGTTTGGAATGCATGGTTGTGCTGTGTTCTCAACAGTGGATGTAGGAGTATTTCACTCAGACTAAGTATGAACTTAAAATTTTTTAATATTTAAATTTTTGAGTATAGAGAGTAAACCCAGAGCCCCATACCTGGAGACAAGCATCGTGCCACTGAGTTATTTTTTCATCTCCTTTCACTTAAAAGCCCTCTTTTTCACCACATGTTTAAAAACTGAAACAGGGTCTAAGTCACCCAGGCTGTGGCCTTGAACTCACTCTGTAGCCTCAGCAGGCCTTGAACTTACCATGCTCAGTCGCCACAGTACCTGGGAGTTCAGCCTGCAATGCCAGACCAAGCTTCAACTTTGGTAAGTAAGACAAGCAAGTTTGTAACGTCTAAAAGCCACACTGTCTGTACATCTGCACTTTCTGTAGGTCCCAATCCTTGCATAAGCTAGATCTCAGTTCACTGCTCACAGATTTACCAACCTGAAATCAAGCTAGGTCCAGGATCCCATCTTAAGCATGGAGTCAGTCAGCAGAATTCGGATGTTTTTACAATTACAGGACTACAGAACCCAGCTCTTAGCAGTGCCCACTGTCTCTCTCTACATGACAGGTCATTTCTCTAAGGCCAAGATCTGGCTGTCTTGGGTGCTTCCAATTTCTCTGGCTTGTTCTGTGATCCTAGTTTTTATTTCCAAGCTTTGTCGCCTTACCTGTCTCTGAGTGTGCTGGGGCCTAAATAAGGATAGAGGTTTTCCTTAAGCTTTCCTCTGATGAGATGGTCCAGAGTCTCAAGCAGGAAAGGCTGGTGCTGTGTATACACATTTTCCACTCCCTAAAACATGGAAATGGTTCTTATATTATTTGGGGAAGCTAGCAATTAACAGTTAATGATACATCAGAAAAGGGACATATGCTCAGTGGAAACCTTATGGGACAGAATCCAATATGAACTGGATAAGAATCAAATAGAACCAAACAGGACATGTGTGTCTATGTGCACATGTGGGTAAAGGTGTGTGTGTGTGTGTGTGCAAACGGATGTCAGAGGTCATCACTGGGCATTTTCCTCAATGGCTTTCACCATCTGTTCTGAGATAGGCTCTTTCTTGTACCCAGAGCTTACAGATTTGGCAGACTGGCTGGTCAGAGAGCTGGAGGGTCCCCCTACTCTGTGCACACTTTAGCACTGTGGGGTACAGATGCACACCACTGTATTTGGTATCTGTATATTTGTATATGTATCTGCTGGGGATCTAAGTCAGGCTTGAGCAGCAATCACTTCACCAAGTGAACCACCTCCCCAGTCTAGGATTTTAGAATATGTAAGAATTACTTTAATTAGACAAAACTGTTCCAATCTTACAAAAGTACTAGTTTTTTTTTTAAAGGTACTAATTTAAGGCTAGTTATTTTCAATATGGTTTCAATAAACTTTCCAAGGAATTTAAAAATCTGGAATATTTTATCTTGTCTGAATTTCATTCTTCTGAGAAACAAAAAGCAAGGACTGTGTAGAGGAGATGGTAAGTCGTAGAAGCAGAAAAGCACAGGAAGCGCATGACAGTCTGAGATGGAACTGTAAGAACAGGCTAGGGGCTAGAGGAGCTGCTCCATTGATTGGTAAGTGCTCGTCCCTCAAACATGAGGGAGGGCTATTAGAAAAGCATTCTGGCAGGGCAGTGGTGGTGCACGCCTTTAATCCCAGCACTTGGGAGGCAGAAGCCTCCTGGTCTACAGAGTGAGTTCCAGGACAGCCAGGGCTACACAGAGAAACCCTGTCTCAAAAAAAAAAAAAAAAGAAAAGCTTTCTACCAAGTAAAAAGCTGGCCTAGTAGAGCCCCATGACAATGGTAGATGGGCCTCTAGGCATGCCAGTAAGGAACTGCCTTGATTATGTTAATTTATATGGAAGACCCATCTTAACTGTGGGCAAGACTTCACTAGTAAGTGGAGAAAGTGAGCCACATGTGGTGTTGTCTGCTGACTGCAGGACTGACTTCTTAACACAACAGACGCCTGTGTTTTCTCTTTAGTTCCCTTCAGACAGGGGCTTGTGGGCTGGAGATGCAGCTCAGTTGGCAGACTGTTGGCTTATTACGCACAGAGCCTTGAATTCCGTTCCCAGCACAGTATAAACTTGCTGTAGTGGTGTACACCCAGAACTTGGCAGCTGGAGGATTACAAGTTCAAGGTCATCCTTGGGTACATAGTGAGTTTGAAACCAGCCTGCCCTACATGAGATTCCTCAAAAACAAAACCAGCCGACCACACACCAGAAAAACCACAAACCATCAACACACACACACACACACACACACACACACACACACACACACACAGAGAGAGAGAGAGAGAGAGAGAGAGAGAGAGAGAGAGAGAGGACTCAAAACTTAATAAATTTTAAATTACAGGGAAAAGAGGTGTGACTACAGAACTACTCACACTTCCTGGAAATGCCCCATCACTCCCCGCTGAGCTACCTGGCGCAGTGCAGGCACACTACAGCACAGAGGGAACATTTCAAGAGATTGTCTGCTGTGGTTTCACTGGGTGGACATAGCACTACAATCCAGAATATACTGTTAGGATCATATCAGGCCATGCTCAGCCTCAGCGTTTTTCATTGTTTCTGACTAAAGCTATACCTTCAGTCCTTTGAGAAACTGTTTCGTAATAGCCACAGCATCTTTGGGGCTGAAGAGGTCACTTCCTCTAACTCGTTTACCACCATATTCAACAACTGCAGACACCAGCTGCAAAAGAAAAAAAAAATAAGAAAAAACAACCTTTTATTGCTTCAGTATCAGGAAGCTCATTTCATAAAAAATGACTTTGTTAGAGTATGAAGACATGAGAGGATGGAACTGTGCACCTTGTAAATAAATAGTATGATTTATCTTTTGCTGGGGCTGAAACTATAACAGACCTGGCTCCTGGGGTTTGGGCTTACTCAATAAATTTGGAATTGGGTTTTGTGCAATGCTGTGAGTGACTGTTCTCTGAGCCAAGCAACTGCCATTAGGGAGCTCAGCTGTGCCCCTTGCTAAAGCGTCCTCTCAGCAGGCCTTCCTGACTGCTAGTGCCCCACCCCAGCAGACTACCCAGCTGCTCCTTACCACCTGTTGTATGCAACTCTGCCTTATGGCGTGTGGCATCATGAAGGGCTACAGTACACCGGGAGGGAGACTAGAGAAGGGGAATACCATCTCTGCAGGATGGGGAACACTCATCCCTGCTGGGTAAAGGCTTTCGGGGTGAGGAACACCCATACCCGTCACCTGTGCTCTGTCAGGAACCCCAATTAACTGTGGCAGAACCATGCCTCATTTTTTTGTTGGGATCATTGTCTAAATCTCCCCCTGGGAAAGAATTTTAGCAACACAGCAGTAGTCCTAGCACCTGGGAGGCTGAGACAGGAGGACCTAAGGGGAAGGACTCCCCAGGGCTGCAGAGAGTGAGACCTGCTCTATTACAATAAAATACACACAAGCACACACACACATCAGGCTACCTTCCGATACTTCTCAGCAACACCTTTACTCCTGAGGTCCACTATGAGTCCTGGCAGGCTGTTGCTGCTGTGGCGCTCGTAATGTAGAGCATAAAGCATCACCAAGCGAACTGCATCAAATTCTGTGACTTTCGGATTCTGCAGGAGTCTCTTCACATTCTGAGGAAAGATAGAGCCAATATTAACGCTCAGTGGTCTCCTGGGTAGCGTCCAGGATCGCAAGCTTATTGAGTGGTAGAGACATCTCAGCTAACACACACACTATCCTGTTTCGACTACAGGACAGCAACTGCTTCTTATTCAGAGGAAGAATGAAACAGGAATAATTCCCACTGTAACAGCTCTAGGAAGGATGAACTCAGCATCTGTCTCTCTTGCCTTTCCTGAGTCATCTCCTTGGTGGTGTAAGGAGCGCAGACTGCTTCCACTTCAGTCAATATAGTGCACAGAAACGACCAGTTTCTGCTTAAAAACCTTTCTTTTAGTGTTGTTCATCCCGTTGTATCCAAACAGACACGAGCTGGCAGACTTACACGGGCTGGACTTAATCCCTAAGAAACACCAGAGGTCATAACATGTCTCAGATGGCTGAGAGAAACAAGTGTATGTGACAGTGTGTAATCTTTAAAATGGAGAACTTCTGGTCTAAGAGGCAGGTGCTGGAAGCAAAGGGACAGAACACATCATGCCTGGACTCTCTCAGCCTCACATTAAGGGCCTTCCTACATGGCACATATCTGTATTTATTATACGGCAGAACACATAACTTAATTTAAGCCAAGAACACATTTTGGGCTCTGGAAGGCACCATGCCAGTCACTGTTGGGAGAATACTGATGTGTCTGAGTCAGTCTCTGTCCTCAGTGAGTTCACAGACTCATTGAGGGATGAAACGAACATAAGCCATTCTGGCACAAAGCATGCTGCTTCACAGTACTTTAGCTTTGTAAGACTGAAACACGTGAACATGTATCAGTTAACACAGAAGACATATTGGCTCATATGTCAAATTTCAGCATGGACAGGCTTCCACATGATTAAAGAGGACACAGTGCCAATATGTCCACAAAAGAAGAGACAGCACCTCTCAGCAGCCATGTCCAATGTGCAAGACTTCCTCTATACACAGACACAGGGACTAGGATTACACAGGGGAAGCTCTTCTAGAAAGTTCTCTGAAAAGGAGCACTATTGTTTTCCTGGTTAATGTTTATCAACATCCTTAAGGGATCAAAAAGGGAGAAAAATTCACTTAGACATCACATTCATAAGCATTTTCTTATTTTTTCTTTTAATAACTTTTCAACAGAATAGCCACAGAATACAGCCCACTGAAGACATCTGTTAAAATGGTCTAATATTTTCTATCACAATGAAAAGACATTTTAGGGCATACTCTCTCAGATATGTATATAAGCTCTCTCTCCCCCTCTTCCCTCTCTCTTTCTGTTCATATCCCCCTGACCCTTTTCAGCCAACCCAGAAAATTTAAAACATCGTGAGATCTCATCTGGGGCCCTTGCTGTCGCTCCTCTGCAGGTACAATGTCTGATTTCCCACCCTCGAAGTCACTCCCCTTTTAACTTTAATCTCCTAATTTCTGGCTACGCCACCATCGTACTTTAAGTAAATCTGAAGTACCCACGTGACTATGGGTGGATACCCACGTGACTATGGGCGAAGTACCCACGTGACTATGGGTGGGTACCCACGTGACTATGGGTGGGTGCCCACGTGACTATGGGTGAAGTACCCACGTGACTATGGGTGGGTACCCACGTGACTATGGGTGGATACTAGTGTGGAAACAGACTGTTTGCAGTGATAGGTTGTGCCTTTCCTGTCTACTTCCTTTCCAACAACCTCCCCTTACGTCCTGAACCTTGTCGCTCTCTTCCTTAAGATTTCACAGTGCCATTAGTCTTCCTGGCTGCACTTTGCTGTCCCTTCAGGAACATGGCTCAGACCCTCCTTACACTGTTTCCCGACTCTGTGCCTCCTTTGACCTGCTAGATGGCTATTTTCTTAGGAAAAGAAATGTGTAGGTTCAAGCTAAGTTCCTGCTTCTCTTTTAGCCATGCCATCCTTGGGAAAGCAGGGGATTTTGTTTACCCTGATCCCATGTTATCCTTTTACTTCATTTTGACTACTGCCCTTGAGGTTACTTGGCTTGTCCCTTTGACTAATAGTGGCATAAGTCTCATGGAGATCTAAGCAGGGTGCGAACCAGAAAAGAGGAGAAAGAGTTAGAGGGGTGTCTTAATGGTGTACTTATTTGTTAGAAACATAACTGATTTGTGTAGTGAATGTTTGATTTTCTTTTCTCACTGTAATTCTCAAGTCTTGCCAATATGAAGAGAAAAAAAAGTGCCACATATCAATGGACGAATGGAGAGCAAACCAGAAAACCACTGTGGACTTAGGGGATCAGGACTGGGGAGATGGAGGCAGATAGATCTCTGTACATTCAAGGTCAGCCTGGACTGCACAGTGAGACTCTTGACTGAAAAGGGGGGGGGCTAGTATTCTGTCAGTGATATGGCTCACCACACTTGCCCCCAAGCTGGATAATCTAAATTTTATCTCTAAAACCCACATGGTGAAGGAGGGAATTAAGTCCCACAAATTGTTCTCTGACACCTCTGTACCCACAACACACACAGAGTAAACAAATAAGTAAGGATGGGCTGTTAAAAATAAAATGAAAGAGGGCTAGAGAGATGGCTCAGTGGTTAAGAGCACTGACTGCACTTCCAGAGGTCCTGAGTTCAAATCCCAGCAACCACATGGTGGCTCACAACCATCTGTAATGAGATCTGGTGCCCTCTTCTGGTGTGTCTGAAGATAGCTACAGTGTATTCATATATAATAAATAAATCTTTAAAATAAATAAATAAATAAAATGAAAGAAAACAAAAATTCTGTATTCTGTTCTTCCATAGGCACAATCCAGAAACAGGTAAAGCAAAACTAGCACACTGTTTTCAGAGGTCAAGTGTCAAAAAGGAATTAACACATCCTTCAAAACATAAGGAGAAAATGGCTCTTTTCTGATATCTTGAGCATGTTCTATTGTTTAAGGCTGACTGACTGTCACTCTATTTCTCTGTTTTCTTCTCTCAGAACATTCATAAAGCAGCAAAAATTTCTTATGACATAAAAACATCCAATTACAGTATAAGTTCCAGATGAACTTGGTGGTTCATGAGGACCCCCTCACCCTGGTTTAGTTCCATCTCTGGAGTCCCTCCCTTGCTATGCAACAGGCAATGAATAACAATGTAACCAACAGACTTCCTAGGATTCTGATCCAGCAAGACCGAATTAGCAGACTGTTGTGAGTCAGCTGTTGTGATAAACCACTCTCAGCTAGCAGTCCGGAATCAAGTGCAGGGATGCTGGGGATATACCTGGAAACGGTAGAAGTAGGCAGGGTCTGACCTCATTACCTATGGGCAACATATCCACATCAGTGTTCAGGCTTCTGGTTTTGAGACAGGTCTTGTGCAGCTCAGGCTAGCCTCAAACTCACTTTGTAGCTGAAGATGATCTTGACCTCCTGATCTTCCTGCCTCCATCTCTCAACTGCTTGGATTACAGGCATGTGCCATCAAGCACAGCTGCACAGCTGCACAGGATGGCCCAGTCTTGTAATCCAACACTTTCAAGGCTGAGAAAGGAGGACTGCTACAAATTAAAGACCAGTCTGGGCTGTTGAGTGAGAACTTGTCTCAAAAAAACCAAACCAGCCGGGCAGTGGTGGCGCACGCCTTTAATCCCAGCACTCGGGAGGCAGAGGCAGGTGGATTTCTGAGTTCGAGGCCAGCCTGGTCTACAGAGTGAGTTCCAGGACAGCCAGGGCTACACAGAGAAACCCTGTCTCGAAAAAACAAAAAACAAAACAAACAAACAAAAAACCAAAAAAAAAAAAAAACCCAAACCAAACCAAACCAAAACAAAAACCCAAAACCCAAATAGAGGCCACCCGGATGGCTTAGTAGGTAAAGGTGATTGCTGCCACGCCTGATGACCCGAGTTCGATTCCCAGCACCTACCCTACGAGGTAGAAGGGGAACAGACTGCCACTGACATCTACATGTGTATCATGGCATGACACACACACACACACACACACACACACACACACAATAACAAATACAAAAACAACACAAGCAAAAATGAAAGAAAAGAAGTATTATTAAGTATTCCTACACATACTGTGATGTCATCATATGTAATAAGTACTAGTATTTTCTTGTATTTTCGAGACAAAGAACTGGTGTTTAGAGCAGTTAACAATCATTTCCAAACACAACTCACTAAAGGCTCATGTTCTCTGAGGCTCCAGACAGGACTCTTCTTCTTCACTTCTCCATATGCCACTAACAGTGTGACTTGAGGTTTTGCCCAAAGTCAGGGAACAGGTATAAACAGGCCAGCTCCTACTTGCAGATGAAGAGCAATGCTGTAGTAACAGGGCGGAAGGGGAGTGCTTTCTCTCTGAAGATGTTTCTCTTCGCAACATGAAAATCTTCAGCCCTAAACCAACTACCCCCTTCTGAGGACATGCATGGGCTTCAGTGGTAGCTCACTGCACTTTGTTTCTACGCAAATTCTTCCTAAATCAAACTCCTGGTAGTTTGTATATAACTGGTTAGAAGTGGAAGGAATTTATATTTAATTTTTAAGTGGGATATATGAGCGTTTTTTTTTCTTACCATGGTACACTTACTATTCAATAAAGCAAATCCTAGCTCTATTCAGAACCTTAGTTCATTGCTTCATGACATATGCTATCTAAGGTCAGGTCATCTAGGGGTCAAGCCCCTGGCATCCAGTCATTATCAAACAAAAGTTCCCTTTATGGATTCTTTAAATCATTTTGCAAAGAATTTCTTTGTGGTCAGGAAAGCCATAACTACTCCTGACTGTAAAACTCTAATACCTCACACAAGGAATCTTAAAAATATAAGTTCCAAAATAGTGATCAGATCATGATTAGAGTTCTTTTCCATTTGTTTGTTTTTGAGACAAGGTCTCATCCTTAGCCCAGGCTGGCCTCAAACTCATGGTGATCCTTTTGCCTCATACTCCTGAGAACTGGGATTACAGTTTACAGCCAGGCCTAGGCTAGAGCTCATAGTTTTTTTAAAGTATGTATTGTCTTTTTCTTTTAAACAGTAGCAAAACTAAAGCTTCATGTAAAAAGGATTGTATGACGTTTCTAACTGATTTCCATATGGCAAAGAGAGGTAAATAAAAACAGTAAACAAAGTTGACTAGTGATTAACTTAGGGTCAATCTTTATGAAGGAAAATATCAGCCACTAAATTTACACTACACATATAAATTTAAATTTAGTAAAATTTATTTTTATTTAGAAAGGGGCAGAAAACCAAGTTCATTGAAATAACACAGGGATACTTTTAACAGGCTAATAAGACAACTATACAGCTCTCTGTAAAGTATGGTACCACTTGAATTAAAAAAGAGATATACCCAGCATGTAGGAGGCAGAAGCAAGTGGATCTCTGTGAGTTCAAGGCCAGCTTGGCTTATATAGCAAGTTCCAGGCCAGCCATGGGTATATAGTGAGACCCTGTCTCAAACATAAAAGAGATATGCATACGCATGGCTTAGGAAAACCTATAAGGGTACATGACATTGTTAGCAGACTCAAGTTTTCTATACACCTCTTTCAACCTATACTTACAATCTGCCTAAGAATTAAGAATTAATGTCAGTTTCAAGAACAGAATTCTTTGTGAAGATTTAGGGACTATGGGCAATATTAAAATGATAATGAATCACATCACATAACTGTAAAGCAAACAGTATTATTATAACTTTTTAAACATTGGTGTTTTCAGAATATCTTGATAACTGTTTAAAACTGAAAAGCAAGACTTGTCGATGCCAATAAGGGCCGTGGTAAAGCGGAGCAGCCCCATGTGCTGCTACCATTTGATTCTGCTGTATAGAAAATGTCCTATGGTGAGGAGCCAATCACCACGCACCCTGTGCATCACGTCAAATACTCACTGCAACATAGAAACCGGAGGTTTCTACCACAGCTAGGGCAGCATGGTCCCAAAGCCTGTGCTGTGTCCAATGTACCTAGGTGGCTTTACTGAACTTGGTAGAGGAAGAGAAGGTAAATTTTGGAATATGGGGCCCTATCAATGGGGAATGTGATTCTTCTAAGTGGCTCAGCAATTACTACCTTCCAAGGGATTTATCCCTGAATTATCTTTTTCAATGGCATCCCTGAGTCATTTTTGTTCCTGCCATTTGACAGAATCATTCTGGCATTTCTTGGGAACCCTGGAGTTACCTCTGATCTGTTCTTCCTGTCTCATTTGTATATGTTACTGTTTCTTCCTCTGTTCCCCTGACTCCTAGGCTTGTCCCTATCTGTCTATTATGGCTGCTGTGAGTCTACAAACCTTCTAACATCAGTCTTTTCACCTCTGATGCATTCTGAATACTGTTCTACAATCCAGCCTTGCACCAGCAACTTTCATCTAAGACCCACATGGGTCTCTGACTAGCTCAGTGAGCTCCTCTGACACGGTTCTTAAGGAGATTCCTGCCTGCCAACTTAATTTTACTTCCTATTTCTCTTCCACACCCACTCTCGAAGGGCCAAAATGTTTATTATTTCCTGCATACCAATGTATCTTAGCTTTGTTGTTGTTCCTGACAGAAATCCTCCTCCCGATTCTAGTCATTCCTTGTGGTCCATCCTAACGTTGCCTTCTCTGAGGGAAGCTTCCAAAGAATCTTGTCTATTTATGGTCTGAATCACAGTCTGACTTAACTGGTATCCAGAAACACTATGTAATTTTTTTCTTGGGTTTTTTTGTCTGTTCAATCAGACTATATATTTCTTGAGATTAGGGTCTGATTATATAACATTTTTTAAAGATCCTCTGTGTACACAGTTTTTAATAAACTCCCATTATTTTAAAACTGAAGCTCAACCTCCTTTCAATAGTACAACCTGGTCTCTCTTCTCTCTCTCTCTCTCCCTCTCTCTCTCTCTCTCTCGTGTGTGTGTGTGTGTGATAAAGAACTGAATTCAGGCCCTTGAACATGCCAGACAAGCCCTCTACCACTGAGCTACAGTCCCTGCCCTTCAGCTATCTTTCTAGTTTTCTTAAACTAGCTTGTACCTGCACTAGCTGTACAGGCCTGGCCCATGTCTTCATGGCTGTCTCTCCTTTTTCTCCCACTTAGGGTTTGCGCTCCTACTTATGTGTCTGTCCAGAACCAGTTCTCACATCCTCTTCATCAAGAATCTGAAAGAAGATCACTGTTGAGGAAAACAGTCATTCTTCCTCTACACTTCCATGTGCTTTTATGTGTACCTATGTACTTGTTAGTGTGAGTATTTGTTAGCTCTGGAGTGTGCACACATGGATGCCCCTGCATATATGTGTACCTATGTACTTGTTAGTGTGAGTACTTGTTAGCCTGAAGTTGATGCTGGGTGTCCTTTCTTGACTGTTCTCAACCCTTAGTGTTTTGAGACAGGGTCTCTCATAGAACTTGAGGCTTACCAAGTGGCTTGACTGGCTGGCCAGTAAGCCCCATGATCTGTCTGTCTCTGTTTCCCAGTGCAGGGATCACAAGTGTACACCACCAGACCCAGCTTTTTATGTGGGTGCTGGTGATCTGAACTTAGACCTCATGCTTGAACATTAATACTTTACCTTCTGAATCATCTCTGCAACCCACAATTCTTTCAAATTGCTTTCTTCCTTCTCATAGAGTGAACGCACTGAGGGGAGGATGGCGTCTTATTTATCTCTACTCCTCTATATCCTCATCACAGCACTTATATGTAGCATGTTAGCATGTCTGTGAAATGAAAAGCATTTTGGGGGCTGGAGAGATGGCTCAGTGGTTAAGAGTACTGACTGTTCTTCCAGAGATCCTGAGTTCAAATCCTAGCAACCACATGGTGGCTCACAACCATCTGTAATGGGGTCCAGTGCCCCCTTTTGGTGTGTCTGAAGACAGCTACAGTGTACTCATATACATTAAATAAATAATATTTTCGGATTTCTGAGTTCGAGGCCAGCCTGGTCTACAGAGTGAGTTCCAGGACAGCCTGGGCTACACAGAGAAACCCTGTCTCGAAAAACCAAAAACCAAAAACCAAAAAAAAAAAAAAAGAAAGAAAAGCATTTTTTTAGTAACTAATTCCTCTTTAGTGGTACTGGGAATTGAACATAGGGCTGTAACCTCATCTATCTTTTATTTAGTTTGAGACAGGGTCTCACTCACTAAGTTGCATATTCAGGTTTAACTTGTGATACTCCAGCCTCAGCTCATAAGTGCTGAGATTATATTTGGGGGTTGCCACACCTGGCTTATATCCATCTTAAATGTGTTCCTAACTCCATGGTAAGCTGAGTTCCATGTTGGTGAAGAAGGATTACTCGCCTTTGCAGTTTCCTCTGCCCAGCACAGTGCCCACACACAGTCAGTGCCCACACACAGTCAGTGCTCACACACAGTCGGTGCCCACACACAGTCGGCGTTCACGCAGTTACACTGACCTGAAGAGCACTAGAATGGTCATTCTGACATGCCAGTTCTTGTTCAACCTCTGAAACCTCCAGCAGATTTCGCTCACTGACCAACCGAGACAGTTCTCCGACTACTGTCACATGCTTTGAAACAGTCCCAGACATCTTCTTGAACTGTGGATAATTTTCAACAAAGGCCTGGCATGGAAGAAACATTAACAAGAGATGCTGTTATATCCTTACTGGGAAGCTGAGTATGATGGTGCATATCTTTGATCCCAGAACTGTTCTACAAAGCAAGTTCCAGGATAGCCTGGGCTATCCAGAGAAACCCGGTCTCAAAAAACCAACCAACCAACCAACCAACCAACCAACCAACCAAACAAACAAACAAACAAAAAAGGGAGAGAAAAGTTAGACCATATCCTAGGGTCTTTATAGAGGCCAGCCATAACTGAGAACGGGAAGAGATACATGACTTATGATGGATGTGTCACCATGCTATTTATTAAAGAGAAAGCTCACAGAAAATCTCTCAACCTAAACAAAGTGACTTACAGCACTTAGTGGGCTGAGGCACAGCACTTCCATGGGTTCTAGACTAGCCAGGCCTGTATAGGTACAGTACGGTCTATAGTAATAAGTACTACTTCAAAAACAAAATAGAACAACGCAAACCAAACACAAACAGGAAGATAGCTGGGCATGATAACCCACATCTGGAATTCCAACACTTGGGAGGTAAAGGCAGGACCTCCCAAGCTTCAGGCTAACATCAACTACATAGCAATTACCAGCCAGTCCCACAAAACTCAAAAACAAGCAAAGAATCATGGTAGACATGAGACCTGGAGTATTCCAGAAGTTATGCCTCCATCAACAGTCTAAAGTGTCATATACCAAGAGTTATGGTGGAAATTGGGCCTGGAATATTGCAGTTGATGCCTACATTAACAGTCTAAACTGTCATATGTCAGTCGTCCACGCGTGTGTGTGATGTACCTTCATGTCTGCTATGGATTCCAGCCTTTGCTGCTCTTTTGGTCTCTTCTTCTGGAAGTCTTCCATGAGATTCTTTATATTGCTACCAATCTCGGCAAAGTTCAGGTACATGTTCTGTGAAAGTGGAAGTCAGAAGTAAAGTTCAAAACTAGCCTGGTTTTTGGATATCATAAAAGAAGTGAAGTTGAATTTTGAACAGACTTGAAAGACAAATTCCATTTTAGTTACCCAGTCTGGATAGTAGCCATGACACTAGTGATGAATACCATTAGTTACTCTCACAAAGGGCTACCAGCATGGAGTCAGCCGCCATGACCAGAAGTCAGTATCTACGTGATCATACAGCCAAGGCTAGCACCAAGTCTTTGCCACCCTAAGATGCAGCCTAGCTGCAGGGATCTTGCTATCACACAAAGACCCCATGTGCCCTGTTCTCACAAGCCAGTACTGACACTACTTAAGAACAAGTGATAAAAGAAAGCACCTACATTAGCATAGAATTCATCATTTTCAGCAGACAGGACCACCTCTCTTAAGTCTTTGCTGATTCCTGGCACTCTGGAAAGATCAATCCGGTTGTTGTTTATGCCCAGCAGTTCATGGACCATGGCCTGATATGTCCACTAAAAAAGTAAAACAGAAAGAATTGTCAAGTGACAAAACATGGAGCTATCATGTGTTAGGGAACCAAGAGTGATGCCATATTTAGTAAGCAGCCTGCTTCCACCAACTTCCTCTAATCAGTTCCTATTTCTATTAATACTTTGATCTCCAGCATTAAGATTGTCACTTTAATTGTTTAAACATTCAAAAAGTCAAAATACTTCAACATTTCACACTTTAGAGAAAATGCAACAAGATTAATACTCCTGATAGAAAGAAAAGGATTGTAGCTATCATTAGCTCTGATTTTTGCCTGTGAATTAAGAGTATATTTTTGGCTTCACAGCTAGGGCTATATTGGTAGTGCAGTTACAAGCGGCATCAGTTCCTGCACGCTTCTGTGGTTCTCTGCTGCCTGAGAAGTGTGTTCTTACAGATCTGAGTGGTACTATATTTATCCTGGGAACACTAATATTATCAGAAAAACCCTTGTGAGTTAATCAAAACACTGGCATAATCAGACACTTACCTTGTCCCCATTTTACTTTACATTTTTAACTGAGTATGAATAGTGAAGAATATAGTCTTCAGAAAAGTAAATTTGTTTGGTTAAAAACCATAGAGGTGAAATGCCAAAAATGAGTCTTCTTACCATTTATAGAAATTGCATTTTTACAAGACTAAGTATCTTTACTACTATAGAGTACAAATGCTAGAGATGTTTATACGTATATTTACAATTAAATTTATTAAGAAGTAATTTAAAGGGCTGGAGAGATGGCTCAGTGGTTAAGAGTACTGGCTGTTCTTCCGAGGACCAGGTTCAATCCCCACATCATGTGGCAGCTCATAACTGTCTGTAACTCCAGTCCCAGGGACTCAGCTCCCTCTCTGGCCTCCATAAGCACCAGGCACACTCGTTATACAAACATGTATTTAGGTAAAGCACCTACATTTTTTTAAAAGAAAGAATTTAAGATATAATAAAGGAGAGTATTTTAAATTTTGTTAATTTGTGTGTGTGTGTGTGTGTGTGTGTGTGTGTGTGTGTGTCACATGTGTGTAGATGCCCTTGGAAGCCAAAAGAGGACACCATATCCTATGGGAACTGAACTTGGGTCCTCTGGAAGAGCAATCAGTACTCTTAACACTGAGCTGCCTCTAGCCCAAAAGAAGGTGCTTTATTGCTTGAAAGATTTGACCAAAGGATTGGAAAAATTGCTCAGTGGTTAGGAACACTGGCTGCTTTCCCAAAAGACCTGAAGTTCAGATCCTAGCACCTACATGGTGGTTCATAACTGTCTGTAAATCCAGTTCCAGGGGATTCAATGCCTTTCTGGCCTCCAATGGCAACAGGAATACAGGTGGTGCAAAGACACACAGGCAAAACACCCAAACACATAAAAGAAAAAAGGAAAAGGAAGGGGGTTTTCAACCTCCAGAACAAATTAAAACAAACAAATAACAACAAAAATACAGAGGCTCCTGAGTGAGCCAGCTCCCTCGGGCATTACAGTGAGACAGCCAAGCAGGCATTCATCAGGGTTTGTCCACAGTGCTTATTCTACAAGTAAAATCTGGCTTCTCTTCCTTTTAGGACACAGCGGGTTTTTGTTGTTGTTTTGTTTTTTTAGAACAAGAGACTCTCTCTTTTAACCCTACATACAATACCTAGATCAGTGCACACAATTAATAGGTTCTCAGTGAAATCCGTTTTTCTTTGGGATATAGATTTATAAATTACTTTTCTTTCTACTATTTTAAAAAGATTTTATTTTTATTTTTAATTAAGTTTGAATGTGGGTTTGCACATGAGTGAATTGCCTGCAAAGGCCAAGCAGGGTGTTGGAGTCATTGAGACAGGAGTTAAAAGTGGCTGTGAGCGCCCCAGTGTGGGGACTAAGTATCTTAGAATTCAAGTCCTCTACAAGAGCAGCAGGTGCTCTTATCCACTGAGCGTTGCTCTAGACGTCTCTCCCCTCCTGTGTTTGCGTGTCTCTGCTATCAAGTTCCTGTGGTGGCCAGACAGACGCTACTTTATTCTAGAGGATCTTCCTTCCACAGTGGATTACCCTTGGCACTGCCATTACTATTTGCTGAGAGAAACTGACATGGAAAAGACAGCTTTCCCTCTAAATCCATCACCACACACAGCACAGAGCTACATACAGGGAACTGCTTAACTTGCAGAAGAATAAGCATGAGGGGACACAGGATACCTTAGGAGTGTTATTCAGGACTGTCAAAACAAAGATGCAATTTGGCAAGAGCAGCCTGAGGCATAAGAGACAAATTCTCAACTTGGGGGAGAAAGTAAACCCAGTCTGCTGAAGCCGTCTTTAAAAGCTGCTCTCTGGTTTCAAGGGAGAAATGTTTTGATAGGTGAAGTGGGTTAGAGAAGGTGTCCCTGATGTCTCGGAGCTTAGACAGCAGTCACACGAAAGCACAATGGCAAGAAACTATGTAGCACGTCTGGAGCAGAAGCTGTAGGCGCTATGTGAAGTCAGGTACACATCCTGAATGTGCTTGGGTGCCATAATCAGGAGACTGTTTTAACCCAGTGGATAAATGGGAACAACTAAGGTTTTCAGGTGAGGAGTTGTAAGCTGAGAGTAGTCATTAACACCCTTGGCTTTGTAGAATACAGACTGAAGAGAAATCAAAAGAAGGAATTGAATGGATGCTTGTTTCACTGTTACTGCAAGAGACTGGGTTAGACCAACTCTCGAGCAGTGAGATCAGAAAAGGAGACCCTGGGAAGTGGAGTCCAGAGCTTAGAAGTGGCCTTGCTGAGAGAGGGACAGCAGGAAAGAGGCGGAAGCCAGCACAAATGACAGGACACCAGCACACCAAAGAATGTAGGTACAAACCAAGGACAGCTGAAAGCAAGGGGGTAGGTAGAATGCACGGGGTTTCCATATTTGAGTTTTAATGAACACCACACATAACCACACTTCTTTCTGCTAACAAAGGCTCTGCACCTGGTTGAGCAGTGGGGTGATGGCGTCGTCGCAGCGATCCAGAATGAGAAGCAGCGGAGGAACCTCTGTCCGCCGGAATTCAAAGAGTTCGTACTCTTTACTTATCACTTGCTGAGGATGAAAGAAAAGAGTGGTCTGGTTAAGCAGCTAGCTGCAGTAGAGACGACAGGAACAGGAGGTGAATAAAACACACAGAGCACTTTTCCCAACCACATGGGCCTCCCATGAAAGGATTCAAAAGCTTCACAGAGTTGTAACACACTATTTAAGAAGTCAGGCCTTGAAACCCTACTTTACAAGTGATTCAGTTGGGCCCCTAAAGTTAAATAGTTGTGACTATTTCTTAGGTTAAACCTACAGATATCGGTGCTAATTTGTTCCTTTTATTTATTGCTATTTTGAATTATATAGCCATACTTCTTTGCCAATAAAACTAACATATCACCTCTTCTGCTTCCTTCCTTTCTTTTTCCTCTCTTCTATTTATTTATTTTGAGACAGGGTCTCACTGTGTAGCCATGTCTGGCCTGGAACTTGCTATGTAGACCAGGCTGGCCTTGAACTCACAGAGATCTTCTTGCCACAGGCACCACCATGCCTGGCATTTCAGATAAACTATTACAGGGAAATGACTAGCCTTGATGTTTTAGAACCGGGAACAGGGAATACTATACCTTAACACATTCTCCCAGTCTCTTTGCAGCCTCTGAAGAAAGCTGATAACGAATCATGGGGCACTTCTTCAGAGACAAAAGGAGAGCTGTCAGCCCTTGAGTTGTTCTGGATAGCTGGGCAGGATCCCAATTTCGACCCTTTTGGTTAAAAACATATTAAAAAGAAAATATTTTTATTTTTTCTTTTAACTCATTACTGTTGAATTAATTTCCACTTGATTAACTTATTTTGAAAATCCTTGCCTTCCATACCTGACAGCAACCCAAGATATTGAGGGAAAACAAATGTGGATTCACAGCAATGTAATCACCATAAAATTCCTGCAAGTGAAAAGCATCAAGATTAGTCAGTCCATGGATTCCAACTGTATCAAGTGCTATGGACTGCAGCTGTACTGAGTGCTATGGACTGCTGCTGTACTGAGTGCTATGGACTGC